ATTATTGATATCACATAAGCTGGTATTCTTACTCTATGTATCTGTTTTATATATGGTATGTGTTATTTATATTTTAAAATCTTCGTCATTTATTTATGTCACTCTGAAATCCAAGGCAAGTGGATTGTTGTGCTTCTGGGGACAAGCGTCATCCCGGCCTCTCCTGGGCAGTCTAGCAGCCTATGATGGGAGTGACAGTAGCCTGGCTGGTACTGAGATGGCAGAGGGACCCTGTCACTGTGGAGAGCACATACTAACAAGGCTCTGGTGTGGTGGCGAGAGCCCCGGGCTCTGAATCTAGAGAGACTGGGTTTAACAACTTTGCCAGTTACTAACTAGACTAATACTTTACCCTCTGAGTCTGTCTTTCCTCATCTGTAAAATGAGGATGATTCATATAGCACATTACTGTTGTAAGGATTAGATGAGATAATGAATGTAAAGAGATTGGCATGTCAGAGGCACTCAACTGTGGAAGGGGCTGAGTTTTACTCTCCTTTGAATCCTTGCCCAGCACAGTGCCTGGCGCGTGGGTGCTCCATAATTGTTTCCTGGCCTGAACTGATGGAGAGGCCCTTTGAGGATGTAGGAGCTGGTGGTGGTAGCGGGTTCTAAAGTAGCTAATGCTCCCTCTCCCCATCTCTGCCAGGGCCCCTCTGCTTACCACTGGAGGTTTTTGAAGGCAACTGTGCGTCAGTGATCCGCTCAACACCCACTTTCCCAGCTGCCCCGTTGTATGAGGCCCTGTGATGCCTCAGTGTGAAGGCAGCGAGGGAGCTGCTCCCACCACATTTTACTTCCCATGTCCTGGTTGACACTGCCCTCTGCTGTGTGCTTATGGGACAAGCATGTTAAATGAGGGTTTGTGGTGACTTTTTCTTGACGTTGGGGAAGAGAGGCTGCCCTATATGGGCTGTTTGCTGTGCTGTTGCGGGGACAGGTAGTGTTTAGGATCCCCACCCCCCCAGTTTAGCCTGCAGCTCCTGAGGTTTCTCAAACACAGGGGGCTTTTTACCAGTGTCCCTGACTGCTCAGCTATCAACTAATGCCATCCTTCTAGGCTCAGGTTTCTCTCTATGGCAGGCACTTTGTGTTCCTCCAAGACCGAAAAGGAACAGGGGTAGAATTTGGTTGCTATCACTCCTCCTCTGCTGTCTGGTTTCCTCTAATCCCTAGGCACCTAATTCTCATAGCTGCCCCAGCTGCTCTCAAGGGTCTGGGGTTGCAGCAGGCCAAGGGAGAACCAGAAGCCACCCTCCCTATCCATGCCTGTGACAGCCAGCCCTGTCCACCTGCGTCCACCACCCTGCCTGGCTGTCTGCTGTCCCTTCTCAGAGCTGAGCTCCCGGTCAGTGAACTCGAGGTGGGGTTCTGCAGGGCGGAGCGGGATGGTGGGGCTAAAGTCCAGCCCACCTTCCTTTTAGTTCACCACGGAACCTGTTAGAAGCGTCTGCCTTTTACGATTAAGTTGAATTATGAAATTGCCAATATGCAACCATTTGTGATCTACAAAAACAGCAATTTCATACAGTTCAATGTAATACTTAGGCACGGAAACCCTATATGTGCTAGTGGCGGCCATGGAGTCCCATATTCCCCAGGCTCATTCAGACCCAGGCTCATGGCACAGTGGGATCCTGGACTGTAGAGCTGCAAGGAGGGCCCTAAAGTCCAAGAGAAGGTCGAGTTGATCTCAGGGGCTTGGGACTGGCCCCACTCCCCCCTTCAGGCCCCTCTGTTCCCGTGTAGGTTCCGTGGTGACCTCCAGGCTGTGCTTCGTTTGGGGGACGTAGCCAGGAGAGGAGATGCCAGGTCAAGAACTCTAGAGAAGCCCTTCTTCTTGGCAATGGCGCTCGCCCTCCTGGCTCTACCGGCAGGGTATTCTAGGAGTTTCAGGAGGCCTCTGGCTTCTGGACACACCCAGTACCCGCCTCAACCTCACCTCTGCTGCCCAATCTGGGTGGCCGGGCTCCTGCATGCAGGAAGCTTCTGGAGCCAGGCCTGGGTACCCACGGGCTGTGTGTGAGCTCTGCTGCCCCGAGAACCCCTCAGGGGGCTCCTGTGTCCCTCAAACCTTGGCTCAGCAGCCCGGGCTGGCCCAGGGCAGGAGGCATTGAAAACTTGCCCAAGGGATGAAGGCAAAGTGGCCGAGAAGGTTTTAAAACTGCAAAGTTACAGAAAGTTTATGAGTCCAGTTCGCAGGACTCATTTAGGTTAAGAGAGAGTTTCGGCTCTGTGATTTGCCCGCCTTCCCTACAATCCCACGGCCAACAGATAGGTCCTGATGTCTTGGAACGTGGTGGTGCAGGTTAGAGACCTGGTCTCTTTCCTCCAGGAGGATGCAAACAGGAGAGGGAGGGGCTCAGTTCAGGACATTTTAATCATCCATCTATGCGTGTATTCATTCATTAAACAAATGGTTAATGAGCACCCATCTGTGCCAGGCTCTGTGCTAGGTGCTTGGTGTACAGCAGTGAACAGAATAGACAAAATCTCTGCCCTTCTGGCATTGCAGCATCTTGGGTCAAGCCAATAATAACTATGCTTGGGGCCGGCCCTGTGGCTTAGTGGTTGGGTGTGTGCGCTCCGCTGCTGGCGGCCCGGGTTCGGATCCCGGGCGGGCACCGACGCACTGCTTCTCCAGCCATGCTGAGGCCACGTCCCACATACAGCAACCAGAAGGATGTGCAGCTATGACATACAACTATCTACTGGGGCTTTGGGGGAAAAAACAAATAAATAAAATTATAAAAAAAAAAATAACTATGCTGTTGCCCAGCTAACATTTCTGTTGCAAAGCTGTTACCTGTTCTACCATGGGATAACGAAAGAGATAAATGTGTTTTTTTTAAAAACTTTAATAAGAAGAAATGATCAGGATATAATGTTAAATTAAAAAAAAGCATGATACAAAATTGTATATGTAGTTCAGTTCCACTTACGTTAACATATATGTGCATAGAAAAAGCACAGGTTAGGGGCCGGCCTGGTGGCTTAGCGGTTAAGTGCACGCGCTCCGCTACTGGCGGCCTGGGTTCGGATCCCGGGCGCGCACCGATGCACTGCTTGTCCGGCCATGTCCCACATACAGCAACTAGAAGGATGTGCAACTATGACATTCAACTATCTACTGGGGCTTTGGGGAAAAAAAAGGAGGAGGATTGGCAATAGATGTTAGCTCAGAGCCTGTCTTCCTCAGCAAAAAGAGGAGGATTAGCATGGATGTTAGCTCAGGGCTGATCTTCCTCACACACAAAAAAAAAAAGAAAGAAAGAAAAAGCACAGGTTGGAAATAGGCCCTAAATGTTAGTAGTGGTTTGGCAGATTAGTTTTTTCTAAGACAGCCACAACAAGATCCCCCATCCCCTAGGCTCTTCATACAACGTGACCTTCATTCTCCCACTGAGAGGCGTGGTCAAGGTTCCCTCTCCCTGCATCCAGGACTGTGGAGGCAATATAGCTTCTGCCTGGTCCTCCTGGGATGCTCCTATTCGGAACCCAGAATCCATACTGTGAGGAAGCACATGGAAAAGTCATATGTAGGTGATTTGGGCAAAGCCCCAGCTGAGGTCCCAGCTGATGGCCAACATAAGTCACCAGATGTATGAGTGACGAAGCTCCAGCCACCTTCTGACTGCAACCACATGACCCCAATCATGAACAGCCTAGCTTAGCCTAGCCAACCCCACAATCGGGAGATAATAATGATTGTTGTTGTTTAAAGCAACCGAGTTTGGGGGCAGTTTGTTATGCAGGAGTAGGCATCCAGAAAAAATGGTTTATCTGGATTGTGGGATTATAGGTATTAACAATACTTTTCTATATTTTCCAAGATTTCTACAATGACCAAGATTTCTTTTTTATTGCTTTTATAATCAGTAAAAAGTTCATTAAAAATAAAAACAGGGTCTAATTTTTCTTCACTTCACCAAGGGAGAAATTAGGTCTGAATTTGAATTGAGGGACTTAAACTAGACCTGGAGAAAAGCTTTCCATGCAGGATTGATTAGATGCTGGAAAGGATTAGTAAGATAAATTCAAGTTGGTTTGATGGAAAGAGTGGTAGATTTGGAGGGAGGAAACTTGGAAATGAATCTCAGTTTTCTGGGTGACCTTGAGCAAGCCCGTGCTCAAATTCAGCTTTCTATTTTGAAAAATGCTGGCTCCTTGAAGAAGATAACATCCACCAGGGCGCCTGGCCCAGAAAAGGCGCTCTGTAAGTGGTAGGTGATCTGTCTAATCAATGCCAATTATAAGCAGGCATCTGCAAGCTCTGCGGAGGGCTCATCCTTCACTGCCACCAGAGGCTACAGTTCCGATAATGAAAATTGCCTGGAGGAGAACCACAACACTTAAAACAAAAAATGCGGAAACACTAAGCAGCTTTTCCAGCGGTCCTTGCCCACGGATCATGGCTGGGGCTTCTAGTTCAGCCCCTCTAGAAGACTCCATCAGGTGCGGAGGGCCAGAGAGCTCCGGGATGCAGAGGGAGGAGGACCGCGAAGCCTGGCCTGGCGGGGAGCTGCGGCCCTGCGTTGCTGCGGCTGGTGTCCTGGCAACCCCGGAACGCGCCTCCGCAGGAGGAGCGGGCGGCGGCTGCGGCCCTCTCGCCCTTGGGTCTCGGTTCCTCCGGCCAGATTCGGCAGTTCGGCTGCCAGTTGGTGTGTTGATCTCGGCTGCGTCCTCTTTGGAGGCCTCCCCTGGAGGAAGGGGGTGGAAGACCAGACGTGGAAGGGAAGGAGCTCCTCGGGTGGGCTGGACAGTGAGCACTGCTCGGGCTGGAGGGCAAGACCCATGCGAGCTCTGGGAGCCTCCAAACCAAGAAACGCCCCGGTAGAGACAGAGAGGGAATCTCTAATTAAGAGGCCAACCCTGCCCTCTTGATCTCCAATGACTTGTAGAGTTTCTGGTTGCTTTGACTGATGCCTTTTTTACAAAGGTCTTTTCTTTGTCTCTAGTTGCTTTTAATATTTAAAATCAACACGTGCATAGACGAGTCCATGTATACTGGGAACGGTCCATGGGGCTGCCATCTCCCCTCTATCTCAAGAGCGACCTGCTACAGAGAGCTGGAGAAGGTTCAAGAGAAAGGAGACTCTGGCATGATCACGGTGGAGAGGAGATACAGTTGAGTTCAAGAAGTCAGGAGGATGGGATGTGGATTTGGTTGCCATATCTAAGTATACTACAGCTAGGAGGCACCACTTGAAGTTTAAAAGGAGGCTTGTTTGGGGACATATAAAAAGAACTACTTAAATAGTAGCTTATGTCTATATTAACCCAAAATCTGATAAGGTAGATTGCAGCATCAAAGCAGAGATTCTCATAAAATACCTCCCTGGATCTGAAACCAGCCAGCGAGATATATTACACATGAGTAAAGGGAGCCAGAGGTTTGACCTGCCCAGTGCTTCAGTCAATAAATGGTGAAGCCGGGATTTGACACCAGTCTTTGGGTCTCCAAAGCCTGTGCATGCCCTTTCCTTTTTTTAATTTGTTCATATATTAGTAGATTCATGGTGCTACTTATTGGCTGGGACAGCTCAGGTGGAAACTGTGAACACTTTAAGGAAAGGTTTAAGTCAAATAATGGATGGTAGCTCCATAATTGGTTGTTAAGGCTGAGGAGTATTTTTAGGGCCACATTTGCCTTTAGAGAACAGTATCCTGGAGCAGAATAGCCAGTCTCTCAGAAAACCGTGGAGTGAGTATATGCCCAGGTTGGCATTTACCTCGTATCAGTGAGTGGCCTGCATGCTGCAAAAAGGGGTTGTGGAATGTTCTGTTGTGCCCCATCAGATCTTAGCTTGGTCCCTGGTCTTTTGTATTCCAGGTCTGTGATCTCCTCATTCTCCTTCACAAGTGCAGGGAGAGGAGGGAGGTGTGATTTACTATATCCACCTACAAGCTGGGGCCAGTAGAGTTGTATTAATTGCCCAACGTGGCTAGGTCAGCAAGGAGAAAAAGGTTCTGGGATTCTAACTTTAAGCTCTAGACCTTTCTGCAGTTTCCGGGTTGATCTGGGTTGAGGGTGGAGTAGAGGGGCTTCATGTTTCTGAATTAGGGGTACCAGAAGAGCGCCAGCCCCTGAGATCCCCAGACCACATTTACTAAAGACCCGTGGCTTCCTCTTCTGCTCTGTAGGTGTGTCCACTCAGGAGATACATCTGAGCTCAGCTTCACATGGAGTCCACAGGTTTCAGGAAGGAAGGGGCTCCACGAACCAGTTGAAGATCAATGCACAACTATGGGTGTATGTACATTTTTCCAGCAGAGAGGGCTCGTTGCTTTCATTACTTCTCAGGGAGTCTGTGATCCAGAGAAGGGTTAGAATCCACTGTCCTAGATCCTTTGGTTGTTTGTTGAGCGGAGAAGAGGCGTGGGAAACTGAGTGTTTGGTTAAAGAGTATCCACATTAAGCTAAGTTAGCTTGATGTATTCTTCTCTTCCTGCCAGACAGTGCTGTTCTGTACGTCAGCTGAGATGGCAAGTGTGTGAAAGTGCCTTGGTTACGTAAGGTGTTATTCCTGCCCAGAGAAATAGAAATAATTATCGTGAATTCCACAGATGGTACCAAGGAAACAGACTTTCTTCTAAACTCTCCTTTTTGCCAGGAATTCCTTTCTAGTCAGGAGAACTTTCTCTTGGTCCTTTCGGTTGGATCATCTTTTCTTATCGCATAGTGTTTTAGCGACTTGCTAGAATTTTCTATCTTATGGCTGACTGGACATTTATTGCATTCCAATAACAATTATCATAATGGATGGTGACCCTTCAAGAAGGAGGTACCTTAGCTTATTTGCTCCTCACTACAGCCTCATGAGCTAGAGAGAGAGGTGGGGCGGGTGTTGGGAGCTGGGCATGGAGAGGTAATTGACTTGCCTAAAGTAACTCGGCGTTACTCTACACAATGGCAATTCTAAGACGGACGTTTTTCACAGTTTGCTTCTCTGAAGTTGGGTTGGTCTTACTAGTGCTGAGGGCCCAGCAGCAGGTGTGAAGCAGTTGTCAATAAACTTTGCTGTATGAGCACTCAATAATGCAGAACATATGTCAGTGGCTTGGAAGAAAATTCCAGAGGCAATAGAGGAGAACTCTTTTAAGAAATGCTGCATCACTTGTGTTCTTGTTGCACTGAGGTCAATTTAGGTGGAAAGTGTGGACATCAGTGACTGAATTGAAAAGTGATTCAGTAATCAGACTTTGAATATGAGTAAGATTTAAGAATGCTTTAACCAATTTATGTTGCTCATATTTCCTTCTTTATATATGCACACAAGTGATACATGATTAAAATCTGTATCTAAGGAAGTCTAAAAGAGTGCTTCAATAAGTATAAGGTAAAAATTCTAAGTGATAAGGCATTGTGTCATAGTTTAACTGGCAGCCTTTGTTCTTTGTGGTACATAAAATAATAATGTTATTACAATTGATGGTGTCATATTCAGTGAGATACAGGCTATGCATTTAAGGCTCTAGTTTCTAATTACTGCTTTAGTCGAATCCAACAAATTTTGATATATAGTACTTATGTCATTGATCATTAAGCACCTCATGATTTCCATTATGATTTCTTCTTTTATATGAAATATTTAGAAGTGTGGTTTGAGTTTCCAAGCTTGTGTAGATGTTTTTTGGCTGTCTTCCCCTTACTGATTTCTAATTGTATTGCATTATGGTCAGAGAGTGTGGTCTCTATTATATTTGTTGATACTACTTTTGTGGCTCAGGATATCGGCGGTTGCTCCTTTGGCTGCTGGGGACCTGTGCTCTCCTCTTCACAGCTCTGCCCCTTTCTTGCCCTCTCCACTGGGCTCCACTCCATCCCGACAACTCACACCTCAAGCAACCAGTTGACCCTCACTTGGGGCTGCTCTAGGCTCTGTGGCATATTCCAGAATAGCTCTTCCCACCCTCGGCTGGCTCTGAGAATCACCTGGGATGCTTCTTAAACATACTGATTCCCAGTTCTTCCCCTGTAGGTCTGGGTCAGAGCCCTGGAATCTGCATGTTGAACCAGTGCCCCAAGGTGATTCTCATGATGGGGCAAATTCTGGGAATTTTGTGCGGTTGGGAATCGGGAGGTGGGACGGGATAGAAGGCAGTGCAGGGATGGAGCTGGACTCGAAGAGGAAGAGAATCATTGCCAGATGTAAGCCTAAGAGCTACGGGGGGAGGGGACATATTTAAATGTGGGTTCCCAGGCCTCGCTTAGAGAGGTTCTAATTCAGTAGATCTGTAATGGGGTTTGGGAATCTGTATTTTTAACAGGTCTCTCAGTTACTTCTGATGCAGACAGTCCTTATGTCATACCCTGGGAAACCCCAGAATGGGGGATTGTGAGGGGAGGAAGTGGCTTTGCTGGCCTTTAAACTTTGTAGAGTCACAAGATCTCTTAAGAGTAAAGGGTTTGGTGATAGGGTTGGGACTTGGCAAGAGTGAAAAAGATATGATTCACTTGCTGTATGAATTTGAGAGGGAATTGATAAGAAATGAGTAAAAAACTAAGTAGCAGCCCCACTGATAGATGGTGGGAATTTGCAGAGAGTACATGATGTATACCTTATACATGTGAAGCAGGATGCCGTATAGTCAGCGGGCAGTCTAAAAATGTGCTCAAGAGTCAGAGAGGTCTGACTCTTATTGCTTGTAATTTTCTTATAACCAGAGGTTACATTGTGTCTGTTGAGCATCTATGCTGTATGAAGTTACGTATAAAGAAATGGGATATCCATTCATCTGACATTATTTTAAGTGACTGGACAGGCACACACTATATAAAATGACGAGAGAACAGATCAACTTTCATGAAGCAGTAATTGTATAGCAGAGTGAGATAATGGGCACTTCTCTATCTACAGTCACTGGCTTCCAGGACTTGTAATTCTGGGTGGTTGGGGAGTTATAATTCCTTTTCATTTATTAACTCAAACCTCTTGTGCCAGGCACTGTTCTGAGCGCTACTAAGATGAATAAGACCTAGTCTGGTGGGAAAGATGTGTATATAAATGAATGATGACACTACAGTGTGGGGGGGAACCACCACTACAGTGTGGGGGGGAACCATAGAAGTTTCTGAAGACAGTTCTTTGGGTTATGATCATCAGCTATGTTCATTAGTGTTTCTATGAACAAATCCTTTGGAAAATTGCTTTGAGATGCTCAATACAATGTGCAGTGATATAGAGCTCGATTCAGATCTTCTCTCTTCCACTTAGAACCACGTGGTGGGGCGAGCAGTCTAGCACAGTGGTTAGGATTTTAGACTTTAGTGTTACAAGTCCTGTGATCAAATCTGGGCAGAGATGGTTATTTTCTCTGTGATCTTAGGCAAATTGCTTAATCTTCTGAGCCTCAATTTCCTCATCTGTAAAATCGAAGCATAATTATTACCTTGTCTGTGGGTTGTTGTGAGAATTAAATGGGATAATGCGTATAAGATGTTAACACAATCGCCAGTACACAGTAAATGCTCAAGCAAATGTTAGTTGTTTTTTTTAAAAACATAAATTATTTATAATCTAGAGAACAAGATAGAATGAAAAATATTTTCGTTAATGTAGTCAAATGGTGATATCTATGTGTTACAGGTACTAAACACAATGATTTTCTGGAATCTAAGGGATGCTTTGCCAACACAACATCCTCTAGCAGAAGCATCAGCCCCTCATCTTCTGTTGAAACAGAAGGTCTGAGTGTCAGTGAGCCTCCAGGCCCCTGCAGAGTGTCTGTTCACCTAGAGTAAGTAAGGGTCCAGTGACGAGTGTAAACATCAGAGTAAATTCTGACCAGGGAGCCGCCAGTCTGAGAGGTAGCATGACATGTTTGGCAAGAGCATGGATCCAATCCAAGAGCTCGTTCAAATCCCAGCTCTGCCACTTAGTGTCTCTGTGAACTTGGGCAAATTACTTTACCTCCCTGAGCCTCAGTTTTCTTATCTGCAAAATGGGGATAATACTTCACAGGATTATAGTGAAGATTAAATCAGTTAATAAGTGTAAAGTGATTAGAAGACTCCCTGGCATAACATAAGTGCTGTGCAAGTGCTTGCTGTCATGAGGTTCAAAAGCAGGTAAAACTAAACTATATTTTTTGGAATACATACATACATACATAGGTAGTAAATCTTAAAGGAAAGCAAAGAAGTGATTACCATGAGAGTCAGCGTCAGGACAGTGGTTACCTTTCCAGGAAAGGGACACACAGATGGTTTCTGGGGAGTGGGAGGGGAAGGCCGGCCATATTTTGTTTCTTGACCTGGACATTGGCTTTATAATTATTTGTAAAACTGTATTTATGTTTTATATACTTTTCTCTGTTTATATTTCTTTTACAGTAAAAAGTTTTGAAAACCTTTTTTCTAACGATTTTTGTTATAATGAAAGTAACAAGTTCATTGTAGAAATTTTGAAAATATAAAAACAGTATTAGAGAGAAAAATCACAATAATCCCACCTTTTAGAGAATCAATGTTAACATTTTGATGTTATTTTTTATATGCATAAGAAAAAATCTATTTCTTTCTTATGCATATAAATATATATTTATTTTACACAATTAAGATCATATTGTACTACTATTTTATAAACCTGCTTTTCCCCACTCTGCATTTACCCACTCTTCCACAATCACCTGTGTATCTGTCATGTCCTCTCCCCCTGTGCCCTGAGCTCCTTGAAAGCAGGGACTGTGTTTGGACCCCCAGTGTCTAGAACAGTGCCTGCTACAAAGTGTCCTCAGATAAATGTTTGTTGCATAAACCAAGTAGGTGGATACTTCTCAAGTTCTTTTGGAAGGTTTCCTTTATCCTTGCAATCTTTTCTACACAGTTCCTTCAGCAAAGCCTTTAAAAAAATATTTAGGAGAGACATATTTCACTCCAATGTCAAAATTATCATATGTTCTGAACTGGGGGACTCTGAGTTATTGCATTTCGCTTTATCTGCACACTACAAAAGTTCAGAACTATTAGTATCGATATGTTTATTTAAAACTGGAGATCAAGCTATACAAGACTCATGAGTTATTGAACTAGGGTTCTTTATGATTTTTAGGCAACATAGTCTGGAGTTAGACTCAGATCTAGCTCTGACCCTGTCTACATGTATTTCTCTGAGGGTCTATTTCATTTTCAAATGGAAATGATTCTACTGGCCCTGCCTACATCACAGGACTGTTAGTAGGGAGCAAATGAGACAAGCAATATGAAATTGGTTTGAAACTATTCAGATATAAGTAATAATATGAAAAAAGATCCTATGACTTGATAGCAGATAACTATACGTGAAAACATTGTCAGGCTATCACTGTCCAAGGCCGTCTATCAAATGCAAAGCAACTTAAAGCAGAAGTGATTGTTTTTTCTGTTGACACCCATGACAGTTTGTTGTAGGCCTTTTTAACTGCCAGGAGGTTCAGCACTAAACATAATGCTCCATTATTATAACCATTTCAATCTAGGTTTGTTTTTGATTATTTCCTCCTCTTCTCTTTATACTTATTGATTTTTTATTTCCATTTAGTGGTTTTATTGAACATGCATCTTTTTTGTAACAGTTTTATTGAAACATAATTTACATACCATATAACTCATCCATTTAAAGTGTACAATCAGTGGTTTTTAGTGTCTTCACAGAGTTGTGCAACTATTACCACAATCTATTTTAGAACATTTTCATCACTCCAAAAGAAGCATGTACCTTTTATCAGTCTCCGCCCCCCCACATCCCCTAAATCTCTAGCCCTAGACAACCACTGGTCTACTTTTTACCTCTGTAGATTTGCCTAATCTGGATGTTTCATATATATGGAATCACCAATATGTGGTCTTTGGTGTCTGGCTTCTTTCATTTAGCATAATGTTTTCAAGGTTCATCCATGTTGTAACGTATATCAGTACATCATTCCTTTTTTAAAAAATTGTGGTAAAGTATATATAACATTTGCCATTTTATCCATTTTTAAGTATACAATTCAGTGGCATTAATTACACTCACAATGATATGCAACCATCACTACTGTCTATTTTCAAAACGTTATCATCCCCCCAAACAGAAACTGTACCTATTAAGCAATAATTCCCTATTCTCCCCTCTCCCCAGTCCCTGCTGCTCTAATCGACTTTCTGTCTCTATCACTTTACCTATTCTAGATATTTCATATAAGTGAAATCATACAAAATTCGTCCTTTTGTGTTTGGCTTATTTCAGTTAACATAATACTTTCCAGGTTCATTTGTACTGTAGAATGTATCAGAATTTCACTCCTTTTTATGTCTGAATAATATTCCATTGTATGTATATGCCACATTTTGTTTATTCATTCTTCTGTCAATGGACGTTTGGATTATTTCCAACTTTTGGCTATTATGGGTAATGCTTCAATGAATATCCGTGTACAAGTATCTGTTTGAGTCTCTGTTTTCAATTCTTTTGGGTATATGCCTAGGAGTGGAATTGCTGGATTGTATGATAATTCTATATTTAACTTTTTGAGGAACCATCAAACTGTTTCTAAGCATGCATCTTTTGAATATGTTTCAGTCCCCTCAAATTGTGAATAAACAAATTATATGCTTGTGGACTTTTATAGAGGAGTAGGCCTAGTTCCTATACGTGAGGGCAATTCTAGTGTAAGATGTAAGATCAGGTTCTAACTACCTATTTAAGCACATACAAGAATCTAGTCCTTCTGCTTCCCTTCCAGCCCTCCTGCAGATTTGGCTCTGAAATCCTCCTCCTCACATTCTGATCACTCCTCTGACAACTCATTGCCTAGAATCCAAAAGGATAAATATCCTGAGGAATTCAGCCTGCTTAAGTTGCAGACAAGTGAGTAAGTCAGAGATCCTCCTCCACACGCCTCCATGCCTGGGGGCTTTTCAGAAGTCTGTCATCCTGCTGGGCACCATTCGCTGAAGACCCACTCAGTGCCAGGCATTTGACACGCTTCATCTCTAATTCTCACAACAACTCTGCTGGGGAGCTATTGTTATATGCTTTTCAAAAACAAAATATCTTTATATAAAAACCGTAAAAGTACTGTAGTGAAATATTGAAATAATGTAAAAGTAAGTAGAGTATAAAACACCTTCTCCATATTGTCTAACAATATCCCCATTCTGCTCCATAGCTGTGAAGAGTTTGATATATATTCTTCCAGAATTTTGAAAGGTATATGTATGTGTGTGTACGTATATATATATATACATGGGTTGTAATATACAACCATATTTTCACTATTAGAAAATAGTACACAAATTATTTTCACTCAAAGTAAATAGATCATGGACCTCTTTCTGTGTCAATACATATAGATCTATGTGGCTAATAGAAACCTACCCATTTTACACAGATGGAAACTGAGGCCTGGAGAGATTCAGTCACCCAGGCATGTACACATAGCTCAGAAGTAGAAGGATGGGATTAGAGCCCAAACTTGCCTGCCTCCACAGCCTGCCTTCTTGGCCACTGCGGAGCCCAAGTGTTTCTCAAGCAACCCTAGAGCTTTGGGGGTCTTTTATTGTTTAAAATCACTTCATCAATTTTACAGGGAAAGTATTAAGTGAGGAAACAGAGACACTGAGAAGTCCAGTAACTAGCCTAAGGTCTCACAGCAGCCTTTCTCACTTGCCATTGTCACATGTACACATTTCCCTGTGTCACCGTAGTGCATGTGCGTGCCATTGTTGCTGCCAACACCACGTACCATCTGGTAGTGGGCCATGGTCGGCCCAGCCCATCCCTGGTTGATGGGCATTCTATTCTTCCTACACACTTGTCATGGTGAAGGTTGGATCATAGGTGCTTATAAAACTGTCTCTGAGCTTCCCAACCCATACATCACTTCCAACCATAAAATTGGCTTTATTTTTAGAGAGGAGGCTAAAAAAGGAAAGAAAAAATAAAAAAGAGACCTTTTAGATAGCTTTCTCCCTACATCCCTTCCTTTTGGGCCTAGTCTCACAGAAGTTAACACTGCCCCTGATGTAGAACCAAGGAATTATAGACATTGATAAAGGTTGTACAGCCAGATAGTGCCTGGGGAATTTTTACAATTTTTTGTAAAAGCGGCTGAGAACAGTGTTAACGGAAGGATTTCTGATGTCTTGCAGAAGATGGGCAGCGTCCTGAGTGGACATTTTACCCAAGGTTTAGCTGCAATATCCACACCTACCATGTTGGAAAGCAGTGCCTATTTAACGGGGTCTTCCTTGGCAACAGGAGGTCTCTGTCAGAGAGGACAGTGGACAAGTGCTTTGGGAGGAAGAAATATGGTAATGTTTTCCTGCTGGACCTTGGCTGTGCAATGCCTGAAAATACTCTTGAGTCATGATTCTGCAGGCCCAGCATTCTGTGGCTAGGGCAGCCCTGGGGGATCACCATGTCACCCTAGTGCAGCCAGGAAGATAGGAAAGGGAAGGGGACCATTGGCAGGCTGCACTTTTTGGCAAAGAACTCGCAACATATGCTGATCCACATTTTTGTTTTTCTCTGAGTTTCATAAAATGCTAATGTGATATTTAAGTCATCAGATAGGTTCTCTCAGATACTTATTAATAGGAACCTTCATTGAAGTCTGAAGAAAATAATTTATATTTCAATTAGATGCTGCCTGTCATATGCATATAAATTGTACTTTATATTCTTCACAAGGAAAACATCCCATAAACCTTAGCCTGAAGTGCATGTTGTTATTTTATAGTTTATTTAATTAAAGTAATTGAGATGAGCATTTATATATATATATGTATATATAAATATCTATCTATCACCAATATATATGTCTCCTTGGTTTGTCACTTGGTGAGTTCTCTGTACCAGCCTACCCCTAGTAGATTTATTAAAAGACCTCACAGAGTTGCCGAGTACCAATCGACCATTATGGCACGCTCTTCTACCAAAATACCTGTGTAGGAGGCAGCCATTGCTTCAGGGATGAATAGGATGGCTGTAGCAGGAATACAAAGAGAAAGAAATAGAAAGTTCTCATTTTTGAGTTTTAAAATAGAGTTTTAAACTCATAGTAAAGACAAATAGTTTTGAAAACCAAGGCTTTTGTTTGGATAGAGAATACACAAAAGGCCAGACAAGAGGAGGTGGGAGAGTAGTCATTGAGGCAGGGACTTTGAGGGGTCCTGCATCCTGCCCAACTTCTGAGATCAAAATCTAGTGGCTGATCAGACGTGAATCCAGCTGGGGCTTCTGCCTCAGAGCATGGCCGGGGGAAGACCTTGAGCCTCAGAATGAAGCAGCATCTGGCCTGACTCTGAGCAGGCGAGTAGTGAGAGCTATGGGCAATGTATGGGCAGAAAGCCAGCCTCAGGGGCTCACCCACCCAGGAGATGTGGAAAAATAGCTGTATTTCTGTGCCATTTGAAGACTGTGGAGGTTAGGACAGAGAGAAAGAATGAGAGAGAGAGAGAGCACCAGAGAGTTGCACAGGTCTCATAGCTGGAAGGCTGGGAGGCCACAGTATGATGTGCTGTAGACCATCAAGCCAGGGATCATATGAAAATAAGTTTATGCTTCACCACCTGATGCATTGTGTAGGAGGATGGCTTCCTGAGGATCAGACTAGATGACGCAATTTGGCAGACAACAGAGATAGATGCCAACTCTTAGAGAGTAACAGAGATAAGGTGAGCAGCAGATATCAGTGTGGTTTGCAGACAGTGACCCAGGACTCAAAACCTTCCACTAAAGCCTTGATGTCACATAAGCCTGCTGTGCACACCCCTGCTTCCGCTTCCATCTGAGATGCAGCCATGGGGTAAAATGGGAAGGATTTATTTAACTGGTTTAAATCTGAAACAACTGAGAAAAACCAAGAAGGGACTAAGTTTGGCTGTAAATTACTTAGGAATGCCCTTGGCCGCAAGTAAGAGAAAAATCAAATTATTAGAGGCTTAAATCATAAGATATTTATTATGTACTTAACAACAAGCTTTGAAATCTAGCTGGCCTATATGGTCTGGTTGCCTAGTGACGTCATCAAAGATATAGGCTCGTTTTTTTCTTTATGTATCACCATTCTTAGCAGTGTTAGATTTTTGTCTTCATGCTTGTACCTTATGGTCACAAGGTAACTGTTGCAGTTCAAAGCATCATGTCTATATTCAAGACATGAAAAAGAAGAAACTCTCTTGTTGCCTTCCTCGTTTAGAAGGAAGGAAAGATTTTCCCATATGGTCCTTAGGAGACTTCCTTCTACCCATGTCTCACTGGTCAGAACTGGGGCAGCTGCAAGTAAACATCAAAAGTAAATGAGATTATCATGATCCAAATCCTAACCCTAACCATCTCTTCCCTCCTAACTCAAGAGTAAACGTTATCCTGAATTTTATGTTTATTATTCCTTTTCCTTCCTTCCTTCCTCCCTTTTATGGTTTTTATAAATACTGAGTAAATGTACAAGTATATTTATGAAATATTTATTTAATATATAGAATAAAATATCACAAACACTTGTATGCTTCTCATTCTAGCTAAGAAATATAATATTTTCTTTATATTTAAAGCTTCCAATAGGCCCCTCCCTGAATATAACATCTTTCCTCCCCCTGCTCCAGTGGTAACCCCTATTCTACCTTTATTAACAAGAAAAACTTTTTATTAGGAACATTTTTAAACATGTGCCAAAGTAGAGAGAGGAACATAACGTAACCCGGTGTTCCCATCACTTAGCTTCAACAATTATCAACAGATAGCTAATCTTGTTTCATCTTTACCTCTCTCCCCCAGAGATTATTTTAAAGCAAGTTCCAGACATGATATAATTTCATCTGTAAATATGTCAGTATGTACCTCTAATAGATAAGGATTATTTTTATTAACATAACCATGATACCATTCTCATATCATAAAAAAATGAACAACAATTCCTTAACATTATCAAATATTGTCAGTGTTTAAATATCCAATTGTCTCACAAATGCCATAGTTTAAAAATATTTATAGTTTTTTTTTTTTTTTTTCTGAGGAAGATTTGCCCTGAGCTAACATCTGTTGCCAATCTTCCTCTTTTTGCCTGAGGAAGATTCACCCTGAGCTAATATCCATGCCCATCTTCCTCTATTTTGTGTGCGGGATGTCGCCACAGCATGGCTTCCGATGAGTAGTGTAGGTCCGTGCCGGGATCCGAACCTGCAAACCTGGGCCACCAAAGCGGAGCATGCCAAAGTTAACCATTAGGCCATGGGGCCGGCTCTCCATAATATACCTAAAAGCTTAAACAAATATGTTATCTCAGAGGTGTTGTTTGGGAGATTTTTCCCTAAAAGTAACGTCTTATACTTACACAAAAGCCATTGGTTCTTTTTCTAGTTGCTGACATTGTCTCATGAGATCTTTTACAGTAGTATATTTCTAAGTGGTGTCCTCAGACCAGAAGTATCATAATCAACCTGAGAGTTTGTAAAAAAGCTGGTTCTGGGAACCACTCCAGACCTTCTGAAACAGAATTTCTTGGGTTGGGACCTAGGAAACTCTTTTTAACAAGCTCGCTAGGTGATTCTCACTTATGCTAAAATCTTAGAACTACTGTTCTGTAGTTATGGCATTTACTGCCTTATATAGTATTATTTAATATCCATATATACATGGCTTGTCTCCTCAACTACATGAGATTCCCTAGGGAAAGGTTTATACGTTAGCTAGATGGCAGTTGTATTTTCTAGATTAAAAAAAATTGGGATGAGGGGTGGTATTAGCCCAGCCCTGATTTTAAATGATAATAACAACTACTACCATTTCTTGAGTGCTGATTATGTGCCCAAATTATTCTCATTTAGTACTTATGAAAACTCTGCAAAACAGATATTTGAAATAAACAATTTATAAATGAGGATTCTAAGGCTTAGGGAAGTTAGATAGATAGCTCAAGGGCACAGAACTAGAAACTGCAGGACTGAATTTGCACTCAGGCATGAATCCCTCCAAAGTCCAAACCCCTCTCACTGTCACCTGACCTTTACTTGTCAGTGCCCTGGCTTGGGATTCAAGAGATGGGGTCACTCCACTCTCTTTGCTTTGAATCCTCGGCACCTCATACCCAGCAGGCACTCAATGCATGGGTGTAGTTGATGCTATTTCACTACAGTTAAGAGCTAATAAAAAATTAGATGAAGGGTCTTAGCTGTTGAAAGGGCTTTTGAAAGAGAAAGGTAAAAATTAAATACTCCAGTAACTCAAGTACTTCCACCCGTTGTGCAGATGGCTTTGCTGAGTTAGCTAGAGGAATTTGAGTAGGTAGGAAAAAGCTTATCAAAAATCTTCCGTAGCTCTCCCTTTGGCTTGCATCTTGTGGGTACAGTTGAATTGAGCAATATCAAAACAAGCATTTAAAAAAAAAGAAAAAGAGAGGCCTGTTCATTGGGTGTGTGGGCAAAGAAGGAGGTCGTGCTTCCAGCCATGCATGCTTGCTTCTGACTCCAAGGCTGGTTAGTCTCGCAGTCCAGGCTTGTTGTCTTAGGAGATGCATCTGATGTCAGAGATGTAGGTTTAAATGACCATCTTGTACCAGGCTGACTCCTTTTGAGCTCAAGTGAACTAGTTACTTGTCCCTGAGGTATTTGAAGGAGCTGAGTTGGGTGTCAGAGCATCGGCTGAGTAAGCAGTATGTGCTCTGCAGCAGTGGACTTTCTCCAGGCTCCTCCTCCCCAGGAAGGCCACCTCCCGCTGCTGCACCACCCCAGTCCTTGAAGGAGAAGGAGGAGCAGGACTCTCATTAGCTGAGACCCTGCCAGGGGTCAGGGCTTCAAAGTACACTAGTGCTCAGTAATGAAAAGATTTTAAGCAGAGCTCTTGCTCATCATTGCATACAGACCTCTGATTCACCGTTCATTTTAAACCAAAACATCCCATCCGAACCTAAGCTATTCTTCTTTCCCAGGGTGAGGTAATCATAACACCTTTTAGAAAATATCCCAAACACAGGATCACACTTTTATCGTCATCTCGAGGCGAGACAATCACTAACAGAACTTTAGAAACCTATATGTACCTTGTAATGAAACACTAAATTATCCTATTTCCATGGTCATGTCAATACTTACAGCAAATCTGTGGATCATTTTCACCCCTTTTTATGATTTTGTTTTTAAACGTCTTTCACAGATATTGATCCCAGAAATGGAATCCCAAAGTTAACTCCAGGAGATAATCCATATATGTACCCAGAACAGAGTAAAGGCTTCTACAAAGCAGGATCAACTCTCCCACCAGTGAATTTTTCAATGTAAGTTTATGCTAATACTAGGGTTATTTAGTTAACTTTAAAGGAATTGTATCCTTCTCTACTACATATAAATTATATTTTACAAGGGGTAGATCTCAACAAGACATGGTTGGTGAAAATTCGTAAAGAAGTCCATATCTACTTCCTTAGTATGCACATATGCATGTGTATAATTGAAATTATATACAGAATCTTGACTAAAAAAAGTGGCTGTTAAATTTATTCCTATTATTATTACCACAAGTCTGAAGTCTTTTCAATTTCATATCGGATTAGATTGTTGATTAGTGGCTACTTTGGGTTGACTTACACTTGGAATGAAACTTAGACCAAAGCGATTGAGCAGAAAGGGAGAGTCATTAAATTAAAAGAAAAATAGTTGGTGTATTATGTTAAAAATACTATTTTGAAAAATTAATCATGTTTGATTTAATGATGTTTACTAAAAATGATAAAAAATAATAACAATTATGGCATTTACAGTTTTGAAGCCCACGCGTGACAATTAAAACCAGTAAATAAGACTTTTTGTTGAATATAATGATGTATTGGTCTCTTTACATAGAAGCCATACCAATATTATGATTGCCTTTTCTGTTTTTCAGAGTGCCTTATGAAAAGAAATTTGATACATTTATTCCACTTGAGCCTCTTCCACAAATTCCCAAGTGAGTTCTCTCACTATGTTTTATATTATCCTATCTTTATGAAAAGATCAATTATTTAATGGAGGAGCTCATAGACACCCAACACATAGGGACCTTTTGAGTCCCAGCAGGTGGGTGGGGCAGTTTGGATGGAGGATTTTTGGTGAGACACTTGGAGGGCAAGTGTCTGTGCAGTCTGGCAACTGAGTTGCTCATGGTTTCAACAGATGTGATTGACAGACTACCAGATGCCATGGATTGTGCTAAGTATGCACTATAGGCCTTTTACATGGAGCAAAAAGACAGGGTCTCTGCTTTCCAAAACATAAGAGTTTGTCGGAAAAGAAAGACACATGATTAAATGTGTGCAGCCAGGCAGGATGGTTAGAGTTTGAAGAGGCAGAGGGAAAGAGCCGTTGGAGTTTTCCTGTATTTGAGGGAAGTATCATTCCTCTGATCTTATATTTTAGCTCAGCTCCATTCTGAACCTCATTTATTTGCCCAAGTAGGGTCTGACCTAGAAAGAGATATGTGTCAGTATAAAAAAATTTCACTTTCTAATACAAAAACGTCTCGTATAAGTATGAATAGAGTGGGCAACTGTACCAGAGTCTGACCCACCAGGGTTCAGCTGGGAGACCGAACCTTAAAGCTCAGTGGTAATAAAAGCCTTTTATTCCAAACTTGGGAGCTCATAAAACAGAAAGCACACTCTGCTGGGATTCTGAAGACAGTTTCATGAAAAGACTGTTTACAGATGTGTGGGCAGGTTGAGAGGGCGAAGCACCCAGGGGCACCTAACAGTGGGAAGCTCTTACTACTCCTAGGTCTGAGCAGCAAGAAGAGGGATCATGCTTCACAGAGCAGTAGGAGATGGAGAAGGGCTGTCTGAAATGAGTCGTGGCAGTGGAGAAAGCAGCCACTGCCAGAACTGGGGTACCTCAGGAGACAGGGAGGGAGTGGAGGAGCTAGGTAAGAAATACCCCAACCTCTACTCTTCCTACCTTCTGATCTCCTGTTGGTGCCTCCCATTAGCCAAGCTCAGCTCAAAGATGTGGGCAGGGCGGAGTCAGGGTGCTGCAGGCTGCAGGGGTCAGCTTCCTGGGCAGAGAAGGGCAGAAACGAGATCTGGGTTTGGGGCAGGGGCACATGGTGAACGATTAGCATGGTGTTTTATTTTGACACTGGTCTCCTAAATTGGAGGCCTTCTTACTTTTGGAGGATATAGTGCTTTGTCTACTGATGGTGTTTGTAAATTTTGCATCAGACAAATTCAAACTCAGGGTGTTATTTTCTTCCTACAGCTTGCCTTTCTGGGTGAAGGAGAAGGCCAACAGGCTGAAGAATGAGATAAGAGAAGTTGAGGAGCTTGACAATTGGCATCCAGCGGTTTCCTTGATACACAGTCTACTCCCTGCTGGTGAGTTAAAGAACCTTCAAATAATAGTATAAAAACTGGAGGCCAGCCCAGAAGAGCAGGCTTTTGAGAGGCTTCGCAATGGTGAGGAGAGAAGGCAAAGCCTCTCCCCGAGTGGATGGTGCCTTTGCCCCGAAATGGTCCCTTGGGCAGATGTCATGGCCATGCTGCCGGTTGAGTGCGTTGGTTGAGAATTGTTAGTCTTGTAATGAGACACAACCTTTAACTCCATGCCTCTATCCACAGGCTCTTTGGACTTTACAAGACAATCCTGAGCCAGAAACAGGCCCACAAAGCATGCGCTGACTGTACTCAGGAGAGCCTCTTCCAGCTGATTGCTTCTGTCAGTGTGACTGTTCTAAATCAAATGTTTGACGTTGATGAGGAATCGCTGTGCCTTGCTTTTTTTAACTTCATATTTTGAAAACTTTCAACGGTACAGATAAGTTGCGAGAATCATACAATGAACAAACACTTATATATCCTTCCCTACAATTGTTAATATTTGTCCAGATTTGTGCACGCTCTCTGTCTCATGTTATTACTGTTATTATTTTGCTGAGTTATTTGAGAGTGAGTGGCAGACATCATAACCCTTTACTCCTACATACCTACATGCTTCAGTATGTATCTCCCAAGGTCAAGGATGTTCTCTAACAAACAGAATACAGATAGAAAATTCAGAGAATTTAACATTAATACAATACTACTAGTATACTGTCCACATTCAGTTTTATCCAGTTAAATTTAGTTTTCTAAGGATGCCCTCAAATCAATTGTAAAGTGCAGACGTTACATGAACTTTCGTTATTTTTGGTAAAACTATTCTCATTTTGTCAATACTTTTTGAGATTTTCTCTACTATTCACTTGGCACATGTCAGAGAAACGTGAAGGCTGGATCTCCACCAGGTGATTGATGCCATTGCCCTGGAGCTCCATTTCCCGTTTCAGTGTTGTCTGTCTACACAGCCAAGCAGGATGAGAGCTCGGTGAGCACCAATCAAGAGTCTTAGGGCCTCTTGTGAATCAGGCAAGACGCAAACATTTGGAGGAAAAGGTGGGAATAAAAGCCAACCCTATACAGTCAGGCTGTGACTCTCAACATGTTCACAGCCAATCTCCTTCTCCACTAAGGAGACCCCACTGGTTGGCTAATGAGGGCTGCAGATCTGGTCTCCCACAACCTTAAGGTGGAAAGAGAGAACTGGGACCCATGCTGAGACTCAAAGTGCCCAAGACATGAGACGTGATTTGTTTTTTTGTCAAAACATTGTCTCCAGACACAGCCAAAGCCGATGAAGTGGGTTAGAACGCAGTACATTCGTGCTTTCTTCATACAGGCCTTTAGACTAACTAGCAGAGAATGTGGTGGCTACTGCCAGCAACTGTGCCCGACCACTGCTTGGGTTAACATTAGCATACCTCTGTGCTAATTCTCTTGCCCCTGGGACATGAGGCCCACCCCTATCCCCAGCAAAATCCAGGAAAGAAAATAAACCAAATAATTTAGAAAAGGAAAAAAAAAGGTTGCCAACAGATTTTCTTGAGTTTTTTCAACTTCTGAAAAAAATGATTTTTTTTTTTTTGTGAGGAAGACTAGCCCTGAGCTAACATCCATTGCCAATTCTCCTCTTTTTGCTGAGGAAGATTGGCCCTGGGCTAACATCCATGCCCATCTTCCTTTACTTTATATGGGACACCGCCAGAGCATGGCTTGATAAGTGGTGCGTCCGTCTGCGCCCAGGATTGGAACCTGCAAACCACGGGCTGCCGAAGCGGAGCGTGTGAACTTAACTGCTACGCTACCGGCCAGCCCCCACCCAAAATAATTTTTTGTGCTTCTAGTTCTTAAAATATAAAAAAGTCAACTGCAACCACCTGTGTGGGTGGATAATGGAGAACACAGTATAGATGCAAAAAAAAGGTTCTGCAGGAATTTCCAGACGGGATTATCTGGGTGGAACAGGAAACTGCTTTCAGAAGGTACTCTGGTGTTTTGGAGGGAAGGAGTCATACACAGTAAAGGTATTAAGAAAAATCGCCAAAATTCAGTTTCAAGACTTGTAGCAGTCTCTAGATTTCAAAGAGGTCTATATAATTCCTAGATGCTGCTCTAAACCAGAGTAGATATGATTTAAAAAAGAAAACTATTAAATAATTGAACTTCTGGAGTTGCAGAGGGACATTCCACCCCCTGGAAATCAGGGCCATTTTCACTGGATTTGGGGTTCTCTGTGGACACATCTCAGTGGCCAGGCCTTATTCCATGGCACTCCCAACAGTGGCAGGTGAAGAGTTCCACCGCCAACTTTGGGCAGGACATGTGTGTGCCTGCGCATGTGTGTTTGGGGGGAGACTAAGACATAGACAAAGGCCAAATGGGAAAAATATGTGAGTTTCATGGCTGTTCCAGCCCTTTCTTCTTTGTAGGCACAAAGAGGTTGAACCTGTTAGACATGAAGATCCCCTTCACCTCTCGTTAGGTTCTTTGGTGAGTAAAAACATGTGTTTCTCTCTCTCTCTGTCTGTGTGTGTTCATTTCTGACTTTCAATAACTGAAGGTTGCAGGTGTGATAGAAACAACCTGTACACAACACTTACAAGTAAATTCATTAGAGTGACAAGTTTACATTACACATAAGGTATTCTAATTTCAGATCCTAGTAAAAAAGAAAAACGGCCTCTGTAGACTGGAGGGAAAATTATGTTATACAGCTAGTGGTACTAAAGTGCAAATAAGCTAAATAAAGACAATTTGAAGACTGTTTCTAGTCTCTGCACTCTAAGTTATCAAGATATTAAGGTATCAGGGTATTAAACTTTTACAATTCCACAAACGATTTATGAATATTCTGTGTGATTCCATTAATTGTCTGCATTTCTGGCATGAGGTATTCAGTTTGGTTAGACTGTTTTTTCTTTTGCTCTCAGGCATTTGGCCCTCAAAGACTAGGTAGGTAAAAGCCTTGTTTATAGGATTTGACTTGGTGAAGTATTTTAGAGTTGGAGCTCCTCAAGATCATGCCACTGAGAGAGGCTTTTCTTGCCTGGCTGGAAAATCAGGAGAGTGAGGCCTCCACCTGGAACTGAGGAATGTGCCAGATGTGGGATGGTGCACCTTTTAGGGGGGTCCACTGGCCAAATTCCCAGTGGATTCTGGGAAAGGATGTGGGATCCCACTTGAGATGCCTGGTGCCCTTCCAATGCTGGGGAACTCCAGCAGGGGTTATGGCCTGAGCCCCCCCGGGGGATGGGTTGGCCACTACTGACTTGAGTTAGGCTCAACACAGAGGCTCCTAAACCCGGATTTTGTAAGAAACACATACACGAAAAGTAAACATTTCTTGGTATGCATGAGGGACCAGTCTCATATCAAATAAGAAGCCAAATATCTCAATGACTTGTTTTCTGAGGAAATGTGTCTGCTTCCATCAAATATAGAGAGGGTGTGGGGGCAGCTTCCAGTGGTGATGGTCTGAGCGTGGGTATGATCATTTGGCTAGAAATGTGTTCTTTTGGTTGGGTGCAGTGTGGGGTGGAGTAAAAATCGGTGTTTTCTTAGAAAGGGAGGACAGAATGGATGCATGAAGCATAATTATACTAAAAATTATTTGTTGTTCATCTGAAATTCAAATTTAACTGGGAGTTCTGTATTTTTATTTGCTAAATCTGGCAACTTACAGCAGAGGTGGCACAAAGGGATGGATTTGAGGGCTAACTAGGAGGTAAAAGTGGCCAGACTCTGGTATGGCTTGGATATGAGTCAGGGGAAGGTATGGGAGAAGGAAAAGTGGCAACAAGGGGGATGGTGGTGCTGTTGCCAGGGCAACATGTGGTGTCTAGCCCATGTGATGTCTTTATACATCTAGAGAAAGATGCCTTCTTGGGGGCCACAGTCCTGTAGATGCACTGCCTGGTGAGCAATGTGCAAGCTAGATTTCAGCCCCCATTTGTCCCTTGTGCAGTGAACTACTTACACAACCATACACAGCAACCCTGGACTATTATTCACTGAAATAAGAAATGCTGGACAAGTATAGGTTTCTGGAGGGAGCTCAATTTTGGGAAGTTGCATTTGAGGAATCTGTGACACACACACGTTGAACTGTCCAGGATGTAGTTGGGCATGTGAGTCTGGGGTCTGGTATATGAGTGTGAAAAAAGTCTCCTGTAGAATGTAAAACCCAAGCCTGTGCCTTGTGGATGCAGGGTCTAGATGTAAATTGCCGGATTGGAATATTGATCCCAAACTGAGAAATGAGCTCAAAAAGACTCTTGGACCTCTGGGGCGAGACAAAAAGCAAATTCTCTTTGGGAACGCTTCTTCACCGCAGGGCACAGGGGACTCCCCAGAAATAACACCCATGAAGATGAGTACCTGAGAAAAAACTACAATTGGATCCACCACAAGGAAGTGTCAGTGGGTGAAACCAGAGACCATTTAGATGATTAACCATGGTTAGAATTACAGTATGAATTACCAGCATTTACAGTGCGTGGAATTCCATTTTGTAGTAACTTGACACCCAGACATTAGCTTTTCCCAGCACTAGCTGAGGAATTTCTAAATGGGAGGGAGGAGCTTAGGGGTGGCAATCTGGTACATGGGGCGGGGCTAGAGGACTTGTCTTGAAACTGTATTTGCAAAGCAGCACGGTGTTTCTACTTAAATTCCATCTGTTTATTTGGGGAGATGATGAAGATTATGGAGGTGGCTAACCCCTGCCCCTAGCCGTGCCTAGGTGTTGTCACAGGCTTTTGACCCTAATTTTAACCCTTTTCTGTACAGTTTCTTGATGGTGAAAAGCTGGTCAACAGGGAAACTAGAATTAGATTATTTCCAAAAGAGATGAGGGATGGGGAAATGGACAATGCATTCTCCTGACATCTCTTGTTCCCCCCTTTTAAGCTGGATGGACCTCCAGCCTCTTTTTCCTGGGCCAGAGTTTCCCAAATTGTGTTTCCTGCATATCTATAGATATTATAAGAAAAAAGGTTTCCAGGGTCAAATTCGTTTGGAAATGCTATATTAAAAAGGGAGTGTATTAGTTTTCTAGGGCTGCCGTAACAAAGTACCACAGACTGGGTGGCTTAAAACAAGAGAAATTTATTCTCTCACGGTTCTAGGGGCTAGAAGTCTGAAATCAAGGTGTCAGCAAGGTTGGTTCCTTCTTGGGGGCTCAAAGGGAGAATATATTCCATGCCTCTCTCTCTTAGCCTCTGGTGTTGCCAACAATCCTTGGCATTCCTTGGCTTATAGATGCATCACTCCAATCTCTGCCTCCTTCTTCGTAAAGTGTTCTCCCTGTGTGTCCACATCTCTTATCCTCTTCTTATAAGAACACGAGTCACTGGATTTAGAGCCCACCCTACTTCAGTATGACCTCATCTTAACTTGATTACATCTGCAAGGACTCTGTTTCCAAATAGTCATATTTACAGGTACCAGGGATTAGGACTTGAACATATCTGTTTAGGGGACACAGTTTAACCCACAACAGGGAGAAATAGATTTCTTCATCTTACAATTTGTTAGGCTTCAATTTTGGCGATTCTGTAAACGAGAGTGGACAGAGCATGCTGATTTTTTCAAATTCAAGTAATCATGAAAAACTTAATTTTAATGGAGTGTCCCATGCGACCAGTGTTCTGAGGAACATATTTGGGTGGGTGGGGAAGAAGTGGAGCCTCTCTCTCATTAAGCCTCTGTTTAGCAATGACCACTCACTTTCCTAAAGGTTTACAGTGACTGTACAGTCTGGTTGCCTGATGGTGGCTGCTCCTTATGGCTGCTCTGGCCAGAGATCCTTGGCAGCCGCTGGGGTGGAGATGGCCTCTTTGTGGGGGCCCTGAGGCCTGGCTAGTGAGGCTGGGGTAATATGGTGGGGTAGGCTGGCCAATCCAGGCCATGCTGGAGGAGAGCCTTTGGTGTTTGTGGCTATGGGGCTCCGGTTTTAGACGTCCCAGAACTGGCATGATGTTGCATTTTCTGAAGCTTGAAATGGGATATTGAGTCTGCGAGTTCAAGGGCGCATTGGGGAACATTTGACGGAGCT